TCGTCGACATATCTCCTGACTATGCAGCTACCCGACGGCATTTTTCCTCGTCCTTCTATCACGGCAGAATCATGTGAGTTCAAGTATATCTCCGCCAAAGCTGGTGCCACCGATGAACCTATGCACATTCCATCTTTCTGCACAAATTTTTGCCCATCGTATTCAACCACCGTTGAACGAAGATACAACTCCAACACCGTCAGAAAACAGTCTACCGAAATGCCCGAACCTGACTGAAATTTTACGAGATTACGCTCCAGGGCCTCTTTTACACGCTTCAACAGTCTGCTCTTCTCCAACGAATAATAAAGGTCTTTTATGTCCATAGAAAATATCGAACACTTCCTGCCATGATGAACCTTTAGGATGTCAATTAATTCGTTTGAGTTTCTTAGTGATAGTGAATCTTCAACCTTACATACTCTAATCCTTGTTGCAGAAATATAGACACCACCTTCTGCCAAGTCCCGTTCTCATTTATCACTGTGCGGAAAGGAAGCTCAGGTTTATGGTCTTTTAGAAAAAACTTCAGGCTCAATGTTGAGTGTCTTGAGCTCAATATCCCCTTTGCCGTCCCTTCAAGTTCCTCTTCCCTAAGACCTCCACAAATCTCTTTTCTCAACTTTCCAATATTCCCGGTCCATTCCACAAATAGGGAATCCAAGGCCTCCTTTGCCTTCTTCCGGCTTGGGTAAGATTGCAAACTTCCCAGTTTTAACCGTCTGCAACATCTCTAGCGATTTACAATCTAACTCGTTTTTTACCGCTTTTACTTCACTGAAGTTCCTTCTTTCCGTTGGGTAATCTCTGCCCATGACATTTTCCATTCGGCCAATTGCTTGATCAACAAAAGCTGCCTTCTCATCCTGAGCGACAACTTTCGCGACTGTCTGTATCGACGAGAACACGTCCAATCTCGACGGTTTTACATTTCAACAAAACTTCAGCCCTCTACTTAAAAATTCCTCAGTTTTCCAGGGTACTGCTTCTCTACATGGGTTTACAAGGGACGTGTGGGGCACATCAAGATAGCTGTTTTCATGAGGAACTCCATGATACATCTGTCTAACAAGATTTCTATCCACTAGTCCTCCATCCATTCTCCCTCACACGCTTAATCTCCTAACAGTGTCCAAAACATGCTTCCGCTTTACGCACCAAGTCCGGTTGAAGCGGGCTCTTTTGATGTCGTTCCAGTTCTGGAAGTCCCCATTTTGCCTGACGTCCTTTCCCAGCAGCAAAAACCACAGTCTATCGCTTGCGTTGCGGACGTCTTGGATTCTCTGACTTGCACCGTCCCTGTAGGTCTTCAATATCTTCTTCTTGATGGACCAAGAACTCGCCGATGCTGAGAAATGCTTGAACAGTTCCGGGAGAACGTACCTTTTTCGTAAGCATATGCCGAAAAACGCCACTTCAGCTTCCAATTCCGCAAGGCGACGTCCCAACTTGTCCAGGACCGTGACTGCTTCCAGTAGTAGAGCGGTTGGTGGCGATGAAGGAGGGCTGAAGTTTTGTTTAAATGTAAAACCGTCGAGATTGGACGTGTTCTCGTCGATGCAGACAGTCGCGAAAGTTGTCGCTCAGGATGAGAAGGCAGCTTTTGTTTATCAAGCAATTGGCCGAATGGAAAATGTCATGGGCATAGATTACCCAACGGAAAGAAGGAACTACAGTAAAGTAAAAGCGGTAAAAAACGAGCTATAGATTGTAAATCGCTAGAGATGTTGCAGATGGAAAAAACAGGAAAGTTTGCAATCTTACCCCAGTCGGTTTTCCGGAAGAAGGCGAAGGAGGCGTTGGATTCCCTGTTTGTGGAATGGACCGGGAATATTGGAAAGTTGAGAAAAGAGATTTTGTGGGGTTCTTTGGGAAGAGGAATTTGAAGGTACGGCAAAGGGGATATTGAGCTCAAGACACTCAACATTGAGCCTGAAGTTTTTTCTAAAAGACCATAAACCTGAGCTTCCTTTCCGCGCAGTGATAAATGAGAACGGGACTTGGCAGAAGGTGGTGTATAAATTCCTGCAACAAGGATTAGAGTATCTAAGGCTTGAAGATTCGCTCTCACTAAGAAACTCAAACGAATTAATTGACATTCCGGAGGTTCATCGTGGCAGGAAGTGTTCAATATTTTGTATGGACATAAAATACCTTTATTATTCGTTGGAGAAGAGCAGAGTTTTGAAGCGTGCAAAAGAGGCCCTGGAGCGTAATCTCGAAAAAATTCAGTCAGGTTCGGGCATTTCGGTAGACTGTTTCCTGACGGTGTTGGATTTGTATCTTCGTTCAACGGTCGTTGAATACGATGGGCAAAAATTTGTGCAGAAAGATGGAGTGTGCATAGGTTCATCGGTTGCACCAGCTTTGGCGGAGATATACTTGAACTCACTTGATTCTGCCGTGATAGGACTAGGAAAAATGCAGTCGGGTAGCTGTATAGTCAGGAGATATGTCGAAGACATTGTGATATGCACCTTTCAGAGTGGAATTGCGGAGAAGCTGGAGTCACTAATAATGTCATCAGCTCCTGAACTGAAGTTCACAGTAGAAAAACCAACGAATAATATGTTACAGTTTTTGGACCTAAAACTTCATGTGGGTGAAACCCTATGCTGGGAGTATGGAAAAGATGCCCCGAAACCAGTACTCCCAAAGAGGAACTGTCACTCTAAGACGTTAAAGACGAGTGTCGTTAGATCGCTGTTCACCAATGCTCTGAACATGTCATGTGTTCATTTCGTAGCTGGGGCAGTGAGGGGGCAGTGGCAACGTTTGATGAACGCAGTGTACGAGGGAGATTTCATCGGGAGGCAAGTGACCTTAATGAACCGGGAGAAGGAAAAGGCGGAGGAAAAATCGAGGAACAGGATCGCAGTGATGCCGTATTTTCACACCGTGTCACACAATATAAAAGCGTGTGCAAACAAATTTGGCATTAATGTAGTTTGCAGCTTGGACTTTAAGTTGGGCAATCTTACCCCGTTCCAAAGAGAGAAAAAAGGGGGCCAAAAGGGCCACAGGGAAAAATCTGTGCCTTGTGAAACTGGTGTCGCTTACGACATACCGATGACTTGCGGTTTTAGGTATACAGGCCAGACCTCAAGATGCTTGAACGATCGTCTGACAGAGCACAAAAGAAACGTGAAGGTAAAATCGACTAATTCCGAAATTGCGACACATGTACAAGAATGCAGAAACTGCTCAGCTGAGTCGTCTGGTACAACGGTAGTATGCAAAGAGGTCAATGACGTCAAAAGGGTTGTAAAAGAGACAGTAAAAATTAGAGCGATTCTTTAATTGCATAAGCCAAGCGTCTATGCTTCTTAGTGATAGGGCAAAAGCTTTTCTGCGAGTATGAATTGAACAGGCCTTTTGTCTTTCGCCTGAGGTACCTCATTTGTCTTGATCTCTTTCGTTTGTATGCGTACGTAGAAAGGGAAAGGAGAAGGGAAAAAATTGTTAACAGGTTGATGGGTTCGAACTGCAGTCGGTTCCGGTGTTTTGCTTCTTTGTTTTTTGTAAAGATAAGAGTCACTGCAAGGTCAAAGATTTGTTTCCTTCGGCCGAAGTTTTGATGTGCGTATGCCTTTTGTGAGTTCAAAGTGGTTCGTTCTTTTTTTTTTTATTGTGGCTGCCAAGTCAAGATGTGTCCCCTTGGTGCCTTTGTTTGGAGTGTTTTTTATGGTTTCGATTTTGGGTTCAGGTTGTATAAAAGGAGGGAGGACTGAATAAAGTGGTTAGCTGTGTTTGAGACGTCGTCGTGTTTCTTCCACCCAGTCTCAGGGGCTCTAAAAATGGTATACTTATCTAGGCATCATTTTGTTACTAAACAATTTATATCTCAGATGGTGTTTTAACAAGTGATTGCTTGCTTGTAAAACAAACTGGTCAGTAATAATGCTGTTGCATATTAATATGTGGTTTTTACTAAACAATTGTCTTTAATTTTCTGCAATAGTCACTACTTCGTCATTTCTACTTGACGTTGTAGAGCTGTAAATGTATAGCCATCAAGGTCCGGGAAGAAGGACTAGCAGGATATGGGATTTCATTCAGCCTTATTTAGCACTCCCTTGACCTTCTCCCTCATGGATCGAAGGTGTAGGGGAAGAGGCAAAAATAGCATTGCAATCACCGCTCTGTAAATTAAATGTTATTGTTTGGAGGGAAAAGTTGTGAAAACTCAATCTAATTTCATGAGGCGTCATAACGTTATGGGCAGAGTTTTAGCTGTGATTAAAGTTTGGATATTTGCCTGTCACTAGCCTTTATTAAAAGTAGCGAGCGTACCTCCACACTATTTATTTTGTCATGCTTTGTCCCATTCATCACTCTAATAAAAATCTGAGCCCACAGCAGGTAGAGTATTCTTTCTCTTTGTTATCGATTAAGTTATGACCATCGAAAACCTCCATCAGCACTGTGCAGCGTTCCCGACAGCTGCCTGTTTGAGGATTTAAGAAAAATCTGGTTGGCCCAATGTCTAAAAAAAGAACACAGTAATGGGTCATAACTTGATTCTTTTAAGAACGCCACTTTTTATTTAGATTGCCTCTTACCGTATAATAACCATCCCTCTACTAGTGAAGTAAAATTTTCACTTGCGCACAGGTTGTTTTTACATGACTTTATTTAGACAGAAGTCCGAATGCCCAGAAACGGTTTGAGATCCTTTGTTACTGTGAAGGTTAGCTGGGAATCAAATTACCACTACGTAAAAAAGTAAGCAATACATGACCTTTGCGTTAAATGTGACTTCGATTATAAAAGTGTATGATAAAACGATATATTATATGATAAAACAGTGCAACAATTAAACGTAATGCGTCGGGCCTGTGTGTTTGATGCAAGGTTTGACTAGCCTGAGTTCAACGTGCGATATTATATATTATTCATTTTATATTTTGGCTTCCGATCGTCGTCGTGCGGCAGTTATAAAATCCTACAGATATGTGCTGTTAGCTAGTGTTGTTTAATTACTTTTTTTCCGTTTTCAGTTTGACTTGGTGTGTGACCGCGTATGGCTCAGAGCTGCATCGCAGAGTATTTTTATGGTGGGAATCATGGTTGGAAATATAATATTTTCACATCTCTCGGATTGGTGAGTCCTAAGGATTTTACTGTCCTGACTATTTTACACAATTTTACTCCAAATGGAAATGAAAATTAATATATTTATAGCCAATTTACGTCGCTCACACTAAGTCTGTATGATTTTTTTAAATAATTTGATGTGCAAGGTTTTAGATTTTTTTTAAATAATCATGTACCGAACACAAGACGAATTTTGTACCCGTCAGAATGTTGTAGTCGCTTACTCTTTATTATAATAAAGGTGTTTCTTACCCTTCAGTAGATCAATTTTTTTCCCGTCTTTTACAGGTACGGTCGGAAAAGGGCATTGCTTTTTGCTTTACCTTTGCCAATCGCATGCGGCGTTCTAACTGCCTTCTCTCCGAGCTACCTTGTCTACAACCTGGGACGCTTTGCCGCGTCCATTGGAATAGGAGGCCTACAGAACAGCACGTTTACACTGAGTATAACAGGATACACACTGAATCCAAAAAGGGATTCAACGCTGTTATTCTTGTTGATATCAAAACCATCAAACCAGTGAAGAGGAATTTGCTTATTACAATGTATGTTACGAATTGTTTTGATAAATTAACTTGAAACAGATATTTACAATATTTGAACTTAATTATAGAATGACACGAGCGGAGTTTCTGCCGTAAAGCAAACCGGAATAATCAGGTCCTGCACATGAAAAGCTGCAACTTTAAAAAAAAAATTGCAGTGTGCCGATTCACCATGTGAAATTTCAAGGCGTAGTTTTCTTCCTGTAAAAAATGAAAGCAAAAAACTTGGCACAGTCACGTTGGGCGCGTTTGCTGTCTACCGAGTTAGCGATTGTATCGAGTTGTCGCGTCATTTTCCGACAGGAGCCGCGAGCAGACAACAAAGTGCATCGTCTAGTCGCCTCGGCTCTCGAGAAATGACGCCACAAGTTAATATCGTCGCTAACTGGCTCGTCTGCGAACGTGCCCAATGTTGGCTATGACAAATTTGTGGGTCTCATTTTTTACAAGAGGAAAATTACGCCTTGAAATTTTACACGTTAATACTGAACAGCTCAGTACACATTTCGTGAAAATGTGAGCTTTATATGTGCAGGCGTTGATTTTTCCGGCTAGATTTACAGCAAAATAACAGTGTGTGCCGTCTCATATTATATTCCGGGAAACAATATATATATTGCACACTGTATTTTATAGAATTTTTTACTATTTTATGCGCAACGTGCAAATGTTCAATTTTCGCGTACGTCTGTTTTTGCGGCCAATTTTTAAAGTATACGCCCAAGAGCAAGATAAAAAAAAAGACTACCGTCAAAGTAATGACTTATTGGTTAAGGACGAATTGAAGAGGCGTGTGCCAGGGTTGAAACTGAGTCCGCAACAAAATCACAAATACTAAACATAGAACAAATAAACATAGCTTAAGGAGTGAAGCATAAGTAATTACTCTCTCAACTGTTATTTTTATTCAACTAATAATTTACCGTTTTGTTAGTTGGTCAATTTATACTGAACCTATTTGATCCCCCAAACAGAGACAACAGATGCAACCCAGGACACATGTTGGGTTGCTTGCTTTCATTTTCAATGTTATTTTTGTGGGCGCGAATAAATATTTTCTATAAACCAATTAGGTCAGCGAAACATACGGAGCGGTTTCTTGTTTAGTTTCTAAATTTATTAAACTTTGTCGTCAACATACATAATTTAGTCTTTCTCAAAGCATAGTTTTCGGTAAATATTATCAACATTCTAAATGTACATAAATATAAAAGCTCTAGTTTAATATTTTTTTCAGCATAAAAAATATTGTATTATGGCGCACGTAGACATCAAGATACATAAATGTCCATTGTGATGTCAAGCAACAAATGATTTTGCAATACCTACACGTCACCTAATGTCACGTCACCTAACCAGCTCATTAGGCTGATTTAGTGACAAAGTAAAAAAGAATAAGTATACAGAATGTTGCAAAATATTTTTACCATAATATTTTATAATTTTTGTTATATAGTGATTGAAGTCATCGCCGCACGGCATAGAGCGGTGGCCACTCTGATCTACAGTGCTGGATGGACTACGGGCCTGATGACACTAACTGCTTTTGCGTGGTACATCAGGAACTGGATGCACCTTCAGCTCGTCATCTCTCTCTTTTACATCATCCACATTTTTGTCTTGTTGTAAGTAAATATAAAAAAAATCTTCATTTCAATATCATATAAAACATTCGCATTAAATATTGATGCAGATATTAAAGGAAGCGGTCTTCCCTTTACTACCCCGCCAATACTGTTTTTGTGACTCACATTTATAACTCCTCTTTATTATTATAAATAAAGTCGCTCTTGGTAATTTTATTGATAAAATTACGTTTCATAACGTTTGCCACGAGTAATAAATGCTATGATCTTTTTTAATTTGGAACTTCGGAGTTAATAGGTTTTATTATTACACGTCTCCAAAAGTATTCGTTCAAAGGCATTTTTTTTGCCAAGGTTTTTTTTTACATTTATATTCAACCATGCGACACTGTATATAAATTGCAAAATACGGCCAATGCAAACAATGATGAAAAAACATACAATGGAAGGGAATTCAGTACTTTGCAACGGTCGTGAACACTGACCTGTTTAAGAAAATAGGGTTTTATGTATATTATCTTTAACATTCATCTTTATAAAACTGGTCTGATATGTGTATCACGTCTCTTATTAAAATACAGCTTTTCGTTACTGCATTCAGAACAATACACGTTGTTTTCAGTTTTCTGCCTGAATCTCCTCGGTGGTTGCTAGCTACGAGAAACTACGGGAAAGCGGACAAAATCCTTAAGTCAGCCATTAGAAAGAACAAAGTAAAGGATGTCGACGTGGGCGACCTGATAAAAAGCTTCGAAGAAAAAATGGAACAGGTAAAACTGCCAGACGTCTTTTTAGACTAAAGACATTTTATACGTGCATGATCAGAATTTATACATACAAAATGTACAACGTCCGAAAGAAAAAAGTTTGTATTGCAAAAAGAAAAGGAAGCATGATGGTTCACGCGCGGCAGTGAAAGAGGGGATGTGTCATTATGCCAAAGGGTGTCGTTCCGTGAACATTTGGAGCTTCGCTACGCGAGTCTTATGTTCAGGTGCAGGAGCACAATGGCTATTTCAGCATGGACTGATCAAATGCAAACCATGGCGAGAGCGCATATCGCTTCTACGTCGAACTTGGCAAAATTCTCTCTACCTCTCTTCGTCTTAAGTGATGTTTTGGTTTTTCTTCTTATATACTGCTTTGAGCACTCTGATGCCCTCACATATGTGCCATCCCCTGACGAAGCCGATACGGGTATAATTCTCTATCATATACTTGGCCTGAAACACTCTAATTAGGTAAAGCGCCGCGAAAAGTGATTCATGCGATTCACAATTAAGATTCAATTGAGGTTTTCTAATGGCGTACTACTCATTTTTTCGGCAGGTAAGAAGTGGTTTCTTTTTTAATTTTCATGTAGATATTGGCATTGTACCTCACTGCTGTAGTCATAACTTTATTTGTGGCAATGTAAACCTAAATAGAGGGCGGCGGTAGGTTAGTTTAGGAATGTATTTGACTGCAATCAACAGTGCTTTCTGCAGATAACTCCAACAATCTTACAATTTGCATCAATACTCCCAAATTATTACAAATGTGAAGAGGTGACAATAATTATTTGACGCCTAAAAATACACCTTGTACAAAAACATGACGAAGTTGACTTATCATTCGCACACCAAGGCGATTTAGGCACGAGTTAATCGGCAACTTCAAGTATAAGATAAGCAACATTAAACGTTTTTTGGTTTAGTCTGTGGCTATTAATTACTAATATATTTAGGCGCCTAAAAGAATAAAACCTTAACGGTGTGTGAGGTCAAACTTATTTATCGCAGTGTCAATACATTTACAGGAAAGATACCAAGTTTCGTAAAAATATCGGATATCGTAAAAATATCGGATATCGCATGTTTAGTTCTGAGATAATTGTATGTGAAACGAGCTGATAGAGAAAGCGGCGGGGGCGTCTAATCTGCGAACGAGTTGTGAAAACAATCAACAGGGGTGTTCTTTAGCATATCGAGTGAACATAGCTCAGCTTCTGCTCCCTTTGCCGCTGTGGGGGTCAGATGGAAAGGAGGCTAAAATTGTGTGACGGAACGTGCACATTGAAAACCCTACATCAACCAGGCTCCAGCGGAAATGAAACGTGGTGATAAAAAAAATAAAAAGAACTGCAGGGTTTGTGCCGGGGAATGAGTCAAATACCATGTTTTAGATACTTCAGACAGCGATTCGGTGAATTATTTTTTCACTCCGTACACCGTAGAACACATATTGTATATTAAATATTTTATTAAGTTGTAATAAACTAATAATAATATTATTCGTACTAAACATTAGGCACTCATTTTAGTAAAAGTTCTGGCTTATCCAAAAGAGTATCAACCTAAGTCAAACGTGAGCTACTTGGTTTTTGTAAAATTCAGCTTCTTAGGCATATATGTATTTTCGTTAGCTGTGCAGTTTTTCCTTTTTTTTTAAGATGACATATCCGCTTTCTGAGGAACATAGTCCATATGGTACTTTTCTATTGTGAGAGTACATTGATTTTTTTTTTAATGCTAATTTTACTCTTTTCTGTTTAAAGTCAAGTGCAAAAAGTAAAACTCGGAGAATTGTGGGCTGCTCTGGGTCAAGTCGTTACCCGACTTGGGTAAGAGGGAAGCAAGATTTGACGACCCGAAAATAACCCTGTAAAACCTATATAGTTCAGCCTACTCCGACATATTGTGTTTTAGGTTTCGGCTGCATATTAAACTTGAAAATATGCAATCTTATGAATATCAAAAGCAGCAGCATCATGACACTGACATCACACAACACTTGTAAAGCCTGGTCAGACAAGTTACTTTGGAATTTATATTCGGTAGAAAAAATACATTCACTGGCCGAAGAAATTCGTTTTTTTTCTTTTTTTGTTGCAGGAAAAAATGTCTACAAAACCAACTTTCGTTGATCTGTTTCGTTACCGATGTATTCGAAGAACGACATATGTGAAAGCTGCTATGGGGTAAGATGTCCATTTATAGGGTTGTATGTGGTTATTAGCAGCCCATCTCGCTGTTTGTCTCTACGAAACAACATATTAGTAATATCACTTTTCAGTATTAGGAAAATTAGCAGTGACCTTTATCTCCCATATTGTTACATGGAATACATGATTTAAGGAGTGGTAGTTTAAATCTGCCTAGAAGTGCAAGATATTAGACAATAGCTTCAAGGAATAAAAAAATGACAATATTTGGCCAGCTAAATTTAACGGGCAGTTATATCATGTAATTTGTTGTCCCTCGAAATTTCTTAATTTTGCGGTAAAAATAATACGCATGACTGAGTGACGACAAATTTTCACGTAAACTTTAGCGGAGAAATTTGTCTCACGTGACCTGAACTTGCGCCGCGCGGTTACTCTAGCCGCCGCGGAGTAGTCGTAGTTCACGTGGTACCATGACGCCTTGTAATGTCAAGTCACGTGATATTATTTTCTTTACTAAATTTAACAGAAATGTTTAGCATGACATCCGACCACGATGCGTTAAGAAACATAATGTCGATTCGCAGTTATACGTAGAAGACTGACATCACATGACTGGACGTCCCGCGATGTGGTCACGTGACATGACGTCACGGGGTAAACGGGCAGTGCAACGTGACAGAATAAATTCAAGTAACGTAACTTCACTTCTTTGTTAAATTTATCGGGTAAACTTCGCGTGACATCTAGTCACGTGGCCTGGTGTATAAGTAGGAAGTAGTAATTTCACGTGATGGCACAACTTCACGTGTTTTCTAGTCACATGACATCCATTCTTTAACTAAATTGTGCATTCCTCATCACTTTGGGTTGAGGATATAGTTATTATATTTTACAAACATTTACCAATCCTGAAACAAAATTTGGGTCGGCGCCATTTTCAGCGTTCGTGCGTATAGCACGTGCGCTTTCCGATGCGAATAGCATGCGCTTTCTGGGCTCTAATGATCGCACGCCGGGCTGTGATTTTTGACATTGGAGAGGTGTATACGGTTCCAAATAAAGCTTTCTAATGAACTTAAAAACCGAAATACATTTAGACCTGAAGCTATGTACGCATTTTACAGGATTCTCAGCACACTGCTTTACTACAACCTCACATACTCCATCATTCTCGTGGGTTCCAACCCGTTTGCGAGTTTCGCCCTCATGGGCGCCATGGAGTATCCCGTGAAAATTGTCTCTCTGTTCTTTGTCAACTACCTAAAGAGAAGAACATCGTACGGTGTACTGTACAGTTACGCCTTCATCTGCTCCTTGGCCGCCATCTTTCTTCCAAGAGGTAGGTCAATGATATACGTATAACCCCGTCGTGATGCTGGCTACTTTTGCGGAGGAACCACCGAACATCCCATATAATACAGGGAAGCCTCTAATAGGGGAGGTTTGATTGCTACAAATTGTGAGGTATATTTTTTGCAGCTTTAATCAATAAAGCACACAAAGCTCTAATCATTTGGTATTGTCTAGAGCACTCAGAGCGATTCGTCTTTTGACGTGTTTTTAGTATTGTAACTATATTTACTTTGAAGACTTTAAGTACGCCGAATGATATATGTTTGTCTTTGTTCTGGAATTAAATTACTTTTAGCTATTACAAATCTGCGAAGAAGTGCACACAAATTTGCGAATTTTAGAGCTTCAAGTAATGTGATTTTTAACAGAAGCCAAATCGTCACATTGGACATACTTTGATGGTAAAACTGGACATCTGTACATGTAATTTTTTCATCGTCACAGATCCCTGGTGGCTGCAGCTGATATTTGTGCTTCAGGTGAAGCTTGGGTCATCCTGCGCCTCCACAGTACTCTTTGTTCAGCGCTCCGAGCTCTATCCGACGAAGGTCAGGACTCTGGCAACAGGCTTCATGATTATGGCATCCAGGGTCGGCGCCATGACAGCTCCGTTCACAAAGGAATTGGTACGAAGGAGAAAATAACGCCTGACTACTTTTCAATCACAAAACTACAGAAACCCCGGAGCAAACTTTATATTGGATAAACCGGGATTGTACCTAATTTAAACATGCTCGTTCATTCATATATGTGGTATAATTACTTAATACAATAATGAGCACTGTTGACCTAAACCTGTCCAAGTGTTGAACTGTATGCTAAAATATTTAAAAATAACGAAGAGGGGGGGGGAGGGGGGGAGCGGACGAGATACTATATTTAGTCGTGTCAGCATTTTCTAACCTTCATGATCATAAAATGGTATTGTATCGGGTTGCATTAGCCGGTATGCAGAATTTTACGAATGGAATATACGAAAACTTCCGAAAAAGGGTTATAAATCGCACTTGAAAAAATAATCCTAGCAATATGTCCGTACCTTTCTTCCTGACTACGTTGGTGAGCTTAAGGTAGACAGTGTAAAGTGTTAAGACGATTAATTGCCTAAACGTGTTTATATTATTTTGAGACATTCACCTTTGCTGGAACATTCAAATAAAAAATTGTTTCCCGTTGTCAAATTATGCCTTAGTCGCTGACTTCATTAAAACAACCATATTTTGTTCCGCTGTATCCTTCGACGAGGTTAGAATACCTACTGTCTGCCATACCAAAGCAAGAATAGGAAAAGAGCCAAAAGCTGTGTGCCCCATGAAATAGCAGAATTCGAGCTACTTAGAATACTACCCCGCGACCGGTAGGTAACGAGGCGCTGTCAGATCAGCTTGCAATGAATAGTTACCCGCGCTTGTTGCAAAGGTTTATGTCGCTTCCGCTGGAGACTTGCTGCCTTTTAGGATTTAGTTTGAGCATCACAGTACCCTCACGGATTAAATTTACCAAATAAAATCACGCAGCACATCCTAGTCTTTTTTTATTCTTACAACTATGGCATGTTTTGACAACAGGCAAACCGTCTCTAACTGATACATGACATATAGGGTGAATGTTTTAAAAGTCAATATGGAGATTTTATGTATTATATGAATTATTTTTTTTTTGCCTTTGGAAATGATAACGTTATTCTCGTAGCATGACACCCTCCAAGGTCGGCAGCATTGTCCTAGCATTGTCCCAAGAAAATAGTTTCGCGTCTAGTAGAGCCCGTTTTTAGTAATTTATCAATAGCCAGTAAAAAGCAGGAAATGCTTGACATATAAAAGAACTATTGTAGGAATTGTAACTCCATTTTTACAGTGATGGCTGTTATAAATATATTCCAGCTGCAATCGTGGAGTCGGTGTTCTGCTCGGCAGGCACCACACGCCCATCATTTCTCGGCTTAACTTTGGCTTCGGCTAGGTGGCGCAAGCCGACGCCTAAATAAATGGTTCAGCCTTATTGATTTAGTCATCCACCTGTAAAGGGCTTTACGCGCCCGTAACCTCCCGGCCGAGAATACGATGAGCGCGTTTTGGTAGGAGCGTTTGGGTTTTGACCTGCCCCACGCACCGACTCTCGGCGGATTTAAGAGAAGTGCCTGAAACAATCGTGTCATCACCAGCTATATGGTGGAGGCGGCACCTGGCTCGGGGTATTTATAAAAGAACCACATCCCATCCCGTCAGTTCACCCACCATGAGCACAAGGAGGGCTTATGAAAAGTAAGGACACCATCGGAAGAGAGGGAATATAAGGCTCGCCATCTTTATAATTATGCAAAGCGTGAACGTCTGTGCTAGAAGTGCTCTCACGGTTACTTTGTACACTGATAAAAAAAAAACTGAATTTTTTTTTTTTAAATTTTTGGAAAACATTAGCTTTAGTGTAATATTTTATTGTGAACGTCATTGTTTTTGTATGCTCATTGAGATTCGATATTGTTCTATATTATATTTCAGTAAACGTTTCAGTAGACTGATTTTTAATGAATTCTGTCTCAGCTGGTTTATGCCTGCATACATGATGTGACCAGCACGTCCCCAATAAAGAATAGCAACGTAATATTGCTAGATACAAGAAGCTACGTCAGCGTCTATATCTATAAACTTAACTGCCCAATGCACAGGGTGTGATCATCGGACCATGGGCTCCCAGGGCCGTGGATTGTTACATCTGCCTAAGCCTTCTAGTGTTGGGGCTCCTACTCCCAGAGACTTTCAAGCTCCCTCTTCCTGATAACATTGAGGATATCAAGAGCAGAAGGTAAACCTCATTTGCTATAGAAAGCAAAGACATTTAATCTCTTTTGTTATTTTTAAGATTGCAATTTTCGATTGCATACTGCCAACGTTTTCTTGCCTCCAGATGTTTCCCTCCAGATACCTCAAAATTGAATACAGCTATCACTCGAATGATGATCGAGATATATAAATATCTGAAAACGTTAACACACATGCGTACGTCTTGATAATTTCAAAGCGGCAGTTATCTAAGGATATGTACTAAACTGACTAGAGAGGGCAGGAGGTGGAACGGTCGATTAAATGGTACTTTGCCCGGTGTTTTGTTTTCTATTCGCGTCTAGAAATGTTGGGTTATTGTGTTAGGTTCACTGTCAGGTTAACCTTTGTTATCAAGAAGCTTTTCTTAATTTCACAGTGGTTGGTAATCAATCTGGCTAAAGCAATACGTGTGAATATATATATATCAGTAGGACACACCGAAGACACTATTAAAAGAAAGTGTCGGTATAGCGTCGGTAAGTATTAAAATAAAAGCGGTTATGTTCGTCTTGAATTTTTAGCCTGCAACGTTGTTCTTGTGGTTTGAAACGTCTTTATTAAATTAATGGGATCACAGTTATGAAGATCTACTTAGCCAGCTGCAGGTCTTGTTGAAAAGGGGTAGGGGAGGGGGTTTTTAAGAAGCGGAAACACCTGTAACGCTGAAAGACTAGGTGACCAAGGTTTGGATATTATTGGACCATTGATATCTTTTAACTACTGACGGTTAACTCGCTTGAGTTTTTTTTTAATACAATGCATGAATAAAAGTCACAATACCCTCAGCAGCCAGCAATTCATATCACAGAATATTGCTTCCGACCTTAGTTCCTTCAATTATAGTACACAGGGTTTAATACAGAAGCAAATGGGTTCGAATGTTGCCCCTGTAGTTTCAATCTAGATCAGCACCGGTGTGCAATCCTGTAGGAGCTTCTGTGTCGTGCAAGTTAAGGATTCCATGCTCTGTACATTGCTACAATGGCCAATTTTTCTATCTGCATCGAAAACACAATTAGCTATCTTAGCAAAGACTAACTAGCCGTCCAAAAACATGGCCAAAAATAAACATGTTAACATCTTATTATAAGCAAACGAGTGCAAAAGGTAATGTTTTATATAAATCTGCCTAAACTCCGCAATGCCGCCACCTGTGAGCAAAATGAGCTGTATGCGAAGTGTAATCTTGGTAAAAGCAGCAAAGAAAGTGTACCTCAAATTCTGCAAATATTTTATTGAAATAAGTTGTTGAATTTATGAATGATTCCTAGATATGATACTTTCTAAATCAACAAATTATTAAATGATACGACTATATTATTAGTTAAATTTTTGTGTTAGGCAGCGGTACATTGTCCTAGCAGATAGTAGACAGGTACATAAATATCGAACTGGACGATAATTAGCAAATACATCGTTGTTACTTTTCACGTAAGGTTCAATGAAGTGGACAGATTAGATTGAAGTAAGTTTCTACTTCTTCCTCTGAAACTAGTACAATACCGAACTGAATCCGCGAAACACAATGAATTCAAAACAAATCGCGAAGATAGTCAAATTTGATAGCAGCAAGTTCAAAATAAACTTTGTGCATACCTCATAAACAGCGAACATTTATGAAAATTGTATTTACAAAATCAGAGTAAACTACTGAACGCGCTAAATAGCTTGAAGATAGGGCCAATGCGGAGCGCAAGCTCGCCTACGTCTTGCACAAATGTAGCGATAATCTCAGAACGCCGAGCTATTATTGGTTGATTGAAAAACAAAATAGTTGGTAGACCGTAAGGCAGCTACCATACAGATCTACCCACTATCTTTCACTGAAAGCCAATCAGAGCTCGGTTTCGTTCTGACGTCAGCGCGACCCCGGCACGAGAATCACACGTCTTGTTGTCCGGATATGAACGTAAGGTGTTCCAAATATTTAGGCTAAGTTGCCAGGACAGCTTCAAAAGCATGCCGCCCTGACGTCACTACTTTGAGAGACCCACCCTATGGAATCTGAGTTACTTAGATTACATGCAAGGCGAACTGAATAAATCAATTGTGTGAACTCACCATGAAAATGTTTCTTGGAATCTTATCCTACGTAAAAAAAACACCAAGTTCTTTTTACAGCCAATGGCTATTCAGAACGGAGCCAACTCGACGTCAGTCTATGTCTGTTTAGAAGTGAACAGTGCTGGAATTGTCACCGTCAAATTAGCGTTTTGTCATCGTTGTCCAGTGGGGAAGCGTTTCACTTTAAGCCACTTCAAAGTGGCGGATTTATAAATAATATTTCAACTATGACAATCGTACAACTTACAGGCACTAATCTTATCCTTTGCATCATTTACTGGGGCTCGAGTTACTAAAATATTTTTAAACATTTTGGACTACGCAGGGAGAGACAGCTAAAACACGACCTAACAACAGAAATATCAGGTTTGTTTCACTATACAGAGATTTACACCCACAAAAATAGCTGAGGTACAAAGATGGTTCGTCGTTCTGACAATACAAAATCTAAAACATAATATTCCAAAACCTATAGTTTGCAATGCTGTAATGACTACTGGTAACTGTATTACGAAACTTGTAAACAAAAAAAAAACAGAGATATTTTTGTTCAAAATAATATTTAAATACGGATTTCTCCGAACCTATTTCTTCTAGCTCTGAAACAAAACATGACAAGATATGATTGGCTATGAAATTGAAAAAAAATGAGGGGCCAGTAGGTGCATTGCAGGAATACAAAAACGGCCAGGTAACAGTACATACAAAGACAGTGTGCCAGGAAAAAGAATGCAGTAGACATCTATATGAGGATAACTTTATTCTAAAACCCTACATTTATATATGAAACCGCCGGTGACTCAAAATTTACGCTTCAGTTTAACGTGCGCCATCGTACTTAATACGATAGTAGGATTATCTGTCGTTTCAGAAGCTTTGACATTTTCCCTTTGAATTGCAGCCGCAAGTCAACTACCCCGGAAGCCGTGACGATGCTGCGGAATGGGCACTTCCCAGGACCTGAGAATGAACATCAAATAACGCGGGAAAATTAAATGGCCTTTATTCACTGAAAAAGAAGTGTGCTACAAACGAAGTGTATGTTTGCTTTTGTCTTCCCCAGATACGGTATCACATTTAACTATTTTTTTTTTTTTTGACGTGTACATTTTTAGCTGAGGTACCAACGAAAATTCAGGAGAAGCAGACCGTTCGGTTTATGAATCGCAATAAGTTCCGAGGTACCAGGTAATACTAGGGCTGGGCGTCGATTAAACATTTTGGTCCAATTAATCGCCACCTTTTAATCGATTAATTAGCCAATTAATCCTGTTTTGTTCATATATATGCATAATAATATTAAACAAAGCAAAAATACATGTTTTGCCTTTGCGGTGCATGTGATAAACGGCAAATTGGACAATTTCAGATTATAAATCTACCTTGATGTGTAGTTGAGAGTAGTGAAAAGACCTCCCTTACGAAATATTACTTCAGCCGCAGAGACAGAGAGGTTCGTTGATATTCTCCCGCAATAGCGAACTCGTTTGATTCTTTATAGTCTATGCTACGCTAAACGGACTCTCACACGGCGTTGAAGTGACTGGGACACATATAACATCCACTTTTTTGGAATTACAAATTTCGCATCTAAAGTTTACTTTTGCTCAAAACTTCACCTAAAGAATTGCCTTAATACAGTTTAACTGTGCGCGTTTGCTTGATGAAAGGGTTACAGTTTTAACTTTTATTTGTTTCTCAAAATATAAGAGATTAACCGGTTAAAAATGTATAGCGATTGAAGCGTTACTCGATTAATCGGTTGATTAATCGATCAAGTGCCAGCCCGAGTTAATACTACTAATGAAGTGCAAGTAGCAGGACCAAATACGCTCTTCGTGGCAACCTTGACCATGTTTACCCTGCTCTTAGTGCCCTTCGCCTTGGATGTGATGTTTCTAACTGATTAATAAATAATAATAATGCAAAAACCTTTGGCCTTCTTATATTTACATATTTGAAAAAAATGGACAGCCTTTGATTGATTTCGAGTAATGGGAGTCTTGCGGCACTAAAACATGACAGTTTGTTTCTTAGATTCATCTTTTTAGCAAGTTAACGAGTCATTGAACTCAATCTTCGATGGATAGAGGCCCCGTACTCCCAGTACAGGGCGGAGCGAGCCAGGTAGCGACCAACACGTTCCAGAAGACAGCAGAGGAATGCTTTAATCAAGCGACATCAACAACTTATAGCGAGAGGGTGCGCCACAGGAATGTGGCAGACTATTTACAAATTCGATAGGTGGCGACCTCTACACCTCCCCCTTTATGAAAAATGAAGGATGGAGGAAGCCCACTACATTAAACTTCTCAAATTTAAAAGAGTCGGCCGAACAACACGTCGACCACTACGAGTTCGCACTACGGCCGCCCCCTACCACTGAGCCGGGACCGGCTCAGTGGTAGGGGGCGGCCCTCTCGGGCTTGCAGGTCGTGGTCGTTCAGGAACCAAGACGTGTTGCGTTGGCTCGGGCTGATCTTGTGGTTCTGCCTCTCCACCGAAAGGCACAAGATGGCGGCGATTTCGTTGAAGAACTAAGTGACAGCAGGTCCCTCGCCGTGTGACGCCGGTTGAACTCTGCAGGCTGTTGTCTTTTGTAAGCTAAATCATCGCTAGTGACCTTGTTTTTCTCTGGCCACTTTGGTCGAAGCTTCTCGTCGCCCTTAGGAACTCGGGTCTTCAGCTGCCTTCCCATCAAAAGCTGCGCTGAAACCGTTCACTCCCATGGTGTCTCGGTAGCTGAGGAGGGCCAGATGGGTGTCGTCTGCCTTCCGAAAGAGGTCTTTTACCGTCCGGATCATCCTCTCAGCTTCTCCATTAGACTGGGCGAAGTGAGGGCTGCTCGTCGCGTGGTTAAACCCGAAAGATTTAGCGAAAGATGTGAACACTCTCGAAGAAAATGGTGGACCGTTGTCAGACCTCACGCGCTGAGGAATTCCATGGCGAGCGAAGACGCTCTTGATCACGTCTGTGACAACCTGAGCTGTCGTGCTTCTCAGCGTGACAACCTCTGGGAATTGGGAGTAGTAGTCCATTAGGAGGATGATGGTCTGTCCATTGAGGTGGAATAGGTCCGTGCCGAGCATTTCCCACGGACGACAAAGAAAAGAGGTGGAGAACAGCAGTTCCGACAAGTTCACACGAGTGGAGGCGCACTGTTCACAATTGGTAACCATGGGAATGATCTCCGCAGTTATGCCTGGCCACCCTACTTATTCCCGAGCCGGGGCATTGCTACGGTTGATTCCGTGATGTCCCTCGTGCAGCAGCGTCAGCACTGGCAGCCTCAGTGAAGAGGGGATGACAAATCAGGCACCCTTACGAACACCGTAGCAAACAGATAGTTCATCCATCACGGCAGCATACTTTCCCAGGTGCAGTGGTAACTTTGACTTCTGCGGCCACCCGCGCTGGCAAAAGGAGATCAGTGTACTGCACTCGCCATCACAGCCTTGTGCTTTCGTCACATCCTCCAAGCTGACAGGCAGAACTTCAGAGTTGCAGTCAACTACCTCTGTGGCAAAAAGTTCCACAGTGTCCAATGGACAGGGCGCTTTGGAGGAATCCTCGACAAGATGTCCGCTGTAGCCAGCAGCTTTCCAGGCACGTAGAGCATCTGGAACTGATAGCGCATAGACTTAAGCCTGAGTCTCCGTACCCGCGGAGGTAGCATGTCAAGTTCATCTGGCCAAACAGTGAAACAAGTGGCTGGTGGTCCGTCTCCACGTCGAAGTTTGTGCCGCGAACGAACTCGTCGAACCGCTGGATGGCCCACGCCATCACCAATGCCTCCTTTTCTGTTTGACTGTATCGTTGCTCGGTGTCTGATATTGATCGCGAGGCGAAGGCGACCGGTCGACATCTCCCGACGGCTGAGTCTGCAGCAAGACGGCCCGGAGTCCGAAAGAGCTTGAGTCCGCAGAAATTGTCGTGGCATACGCCGGGTGTTAGTTGGCCATGCACCGGTCTGAAGTGAGCAGCTCCTTGATCTTGGCAAACACTGCCTCTTGTTCATGCTGCCATGTCCAGCTCGTAGTTTTGTTCAAGGGGACTCGAATCGGGGCAGTGATGTCAGAAATGTGAGGCAGGAATCTGGCTAGGTGATTTACCATTCCAAGGAGGCGTCTGACGCCAGCGATGTCATTCGCAGGATCCATGGTCCGGATGGCTTCCACTTTGCTGGGTTCCAGTCTGATTCCTTCTGCCAAAACAATAACTTCCAGGAAGGAGACCTCGGAGACTCCAAACCGGCACTTGTTTTTGTTCAACGTGATGCAAGCTCCTGCTAGCCGAGACAACACCTGCTTGAACCGAGCGTCTTGTTCCTTCTGGGTACGTCCAAAAACAAGAATGCCATCGATCATATTGGCGACGCCTTCTTGACCTTCGAGGTTTCTGGCCATTTTTTCTGAAAGGACTCCGGCGCCGAGGTGATTCCGAAGAGGAGTCTACAGAAAAATTAATGGCCAAAAGGAGTAATGAAGGTCGTGAGCTCCTGCGAGCCGGCTGCCATCCTGACCTAAGGGAAGCTCGCTGTGGCCTCCAACTTCGAGAAGATGGGCGCGTCGCCCAGGAGACCAAAGATCTGCTCCACTGTTGGGAGGATTTGGCGCTCTCTAAGTACAACTTCGTTGAGCCGTGTCAGGTCGACGCAGAGTCGATACACTCCGGTAGGCTTCGGGACGACGTCCGTAGCACCATGGGGCTAGTTTGTCGACACGACGAATAACCCTATCGCTCTCCAACTTATCATAGCTCGTGCCTGACGACCTCTCGCAGCGGGATGGGAATCCGACGAGGTGCGCTGAGTGAAAATGGTACGGCGTCTGGCTTCAGGCGAATGGTGTATTCGTCCTTGAGTGTGCTTAGTCTGAGAAACAAGTCGGCATGTAGTGTTTGTTGTCTCGGTAGCATCCACAGCACCAAGGAATTGTACAGCCTTGAAAGCCTCAATCGCAGGCAGACCCAGAAGGGGTACGGAAAGGGAAGTCGATCACATAAAGCCGCTGAGAGCTCATCTTCCCTTGCCACTGCAGTCGTGCCAGATACGATCCCAACACACGCAGCGGCTGACCTCCGGGTCCTGTCAGCAGGCTTTCAACCTTGTCAAGCTTGGATGGCACGTTGGGAAAGTCACTCGGTATGGCAGACACTTCCGCGCCAGAGTCTACCTTGAATTCCGCGGTGTATTTATTCACGGTGACGTCCACGTACTTATCCTTAGCGGGTGATCCCACAGCCTGCAGCTGGATAGGGCCGTGCTCGCCTTGCTTAACTTTCTTTGCACGGCAGACTTCGGCGAGTGTCCCTTCTTTCTGCAGTAGTTGCAGAGCGAGCCTGGTGCTGGGCATTCTGAACGCGCGTCAGGCGCGCGACCACAAAACGAACAGGCCGGTAATTAACGGGAATGCCCTGCTCTGGCTTGGGCTCCACGTGCAGGAGCAACTTTGGCACCCAAGCGTCGACAAGACGGAACTTTATCTGCTTTCGTAGCGCTGACTTGGACCGCATGGGAACTCTCGTTGCTTGGTCGGGCAGACGCTCTCTCTTTATCGGAGTCTTCGGACTGACGCGCCTGGGCGCAGGCTTCGGTGAGACTTAGCTTAGCGTTCGGGCACAGCTGCTCTGAGAGACTCGTGTCAAGCAAGCCGAGGGCAAACCTGCCGCGAACTAGCCGCTCTTCTATTGCCGTTGGCGGGGCAGCGCTTCACGAGCTTGCACAGCTCCGCTTAGTAGGCATCCACGCTTTCGTCGGGTTATTGGATGCGTGTGTGGAAACACGAAGACTCGTAGAGCTCGTTTACTGGATGCACAAAGTGCGCCGTGAATCGAGCAACCACTGCAGCGTACGAGGGGAGGGATGCTGCGTCGAGCTAGAACGTGTTGAGCAGTGGACGAGCTTCTGGACCCTACAGTAGAGTAGGGAGCGCACCTGGACGTCTTGAGGTGCTTGTCCAAGCCCAGACACGTCGACATAGTCGTCATAGCGGTGTCGCCACGTCGGCCAAGTCCCGACGTTCGAAACTTTTAACGCGCCCGGCTGCCGCCGATTGACGCTGACCCACTGCGGGCTGGATTCCTTGGTCATGATTGTAGTGTCCTGAAGGCTAGCGCCGAGGACGGTTCACTTCTGACACCATGTTTGATGGATCGAGGCCCCGTACCCTGTGGACAGGGCAAAGCGAGTCAGGTAGCGACCTACACGTCGCAGAACACAACGGAGGAATGCTTTAATCGAGCGACATCAACCATATGCAGCGAGAGGGGGCGCCACAGGAATGCGGCAGACTATTTACAAAGTCGATATGTGGCGACCTCTACACTTAAGACTATTGTCAATTGAGGTAATGTACGTTAAACACCCTTCTATCCTTAAGAATGGTTATTTAAGTGTTGAAGCTTTCAATATACTTTCGAATTTATTTCCACCTAGGAACGGTCATCGCTTCCTGATTCCTATAATTATGATGAGTGTTTAAATTACGTTATTGGAGACAAACTACTTCGTATTGAATGTTTCAACCATAAGCTAAAGTTTAACTTTTAATAAGACAATCAATACAAAATCAGAAAGGTTTTCGTAATTAATAATATTTTTCGTCACTGACAAGAGTTAAAATACTTATTAGCTAACGAAGCCCTAACAGCATCAAAGTAATGGAATAAAGCACCGCTGCTACTTATAGATGCATCTATCAACAGTCAGTGGAGCAACTAGCAGAGCGGCAGAAAGACACTGTCCTCCAAAGGTGCCTGTTTCACCGATGTAAGGTTGTTATCAAAACAATTATTACAGCTGGGTGTCGTTTTTCAAATCATTAGACTCCATACTCGTAAGTCCCTTCAGGAATTACATTTTATAAGAATACAATCCTTTACGGTGGTGTGGTGGTTTCGTTAGATGTGAAGCCAATGGACGCCAAACCCA